GAATGCAACCATCCACTTTTCTACTGCGCGCCAAAGTATTGAACTTTTTACATATTGCAATTTTGTACGTAAAACACAAAAAATAGCGTCAGGTGGGTTGACTCTGCACTCCCTAACCAACGCCATCTTTAGTTCATAGACGATTAAGTTCAGCACAAGCTAAGCCCTTTGAGAGAAAAAAAATATTTACAAACATGTACAATAGAGAAACTAAACGGATCAGGTTAGTCAAACATGCCTATACAATTAGTCCATAGACATCGCCATATCGGTAGTTACCGTCCATCTGGCAACGTTGCTTCTTTTCATATTGTAATGGGTGATTTTTTTGCTAGTATCTTTATGACAACACTGTTTTTGACAGATGACGCGTGAATCGTGTCTTGTGTCATTGTCAAACTTGTTCAGTTTGGTCTATAATTTAACCATGAATCGAGTTACGAACGAACAACGCTTGCAAATTATTGAATTCTACTATCAACATTCATGCTCGGTTAAGAGCACTGCTTCCAATTTATGGGCAATTTGGTCGGCCTACTGAGGGAGCTATTCGGAAGCTTGTGACTAAATTTCGAACCCAGTTTACGTTGGCTTCGTTCCAACAAAGCCGTGTACCGTACAGTGAACCGTCATGAGCGTGCGCAGTACGTTTTAAGTGGACATTAAACCACCAACACGCAGACGTAGAGTGAGGACTGAAGAAGATATTGCGGCTGTATCCGCCAGTGTTAGTGATGACCGTGAAATGTCGATTCGCCGCCGTTCGCAGCAATTGGGACTCTGTTACTCCACTACGTGGGAAATTTTGCGACAGGATTTGGGTGCCTTATAAGATACAGTTGGTGCAAGAATTGAAGCCACACGACCTCCCACAATGTTTCTCATTTGGTGAATGGGCGCTGGCAAAGTTGGAGGAAGATCCACATTTTTATCGAAAAATTGTGTTCAGCGACGAAGCTCATTTCTGGTTGAATGGGTAGTATCTGGAGTGAAGACCAGCCAGAAGCATTGCAAGAGCTACCAATGCATCCCGAAAAAATCACTGTTTGGTGTGGATTATGGGCCGGTGGCATCATCGGGCCGTACTTCTTCAAAGACGGCAATGGCCGGAACGTAACTGTGAATGGCGAGCGCTACCGTGCGATGATAACAAACTTTTTTTTGCCCAAAATGGATGAGCTGGACTTGGCTGACAGGCGGTTTCAACAAGACGGTGCCACATGCCACACCGCACACGAAACAATGGCCCTATTGAGAGGCGAGTTCGGTGAACAGTTTATCTCAGGTTTGGGGCCCGTCAATTGGCCGCCTAGACCGAGTGATTTAACGCCGTTGGACTATTTTTTGTGGGGCTATGTTAAGGATAATGTCTACAGGGATAAACCAGCACCGATTGACGCACTGGAAGCCAATATTGAAGCATTTATTAGTGAGATACCGGCCGATATGTTGGAGAGAGTGTGCCAAAATTGGACCTTGCGTATGGGCGATCTAAAGCGGAGCCGCTGCCAACATTTACATGAAATAATCTTTAAACATTAAATTATATCGACCGTTCTATCGACTCAAATAAAGATTTAATCGTTTTTTCAAATTTTTTGTGTTTTTAAACACCCGTTACAAGCAGAACCCAGGTACCAGAAGGAGATCAGACACATGTATCTATCCTCAAGCTTTATAGTCCAGTTAAATAGCAGAAACTGCCGCAAAACGGATAACATGGTCACAAACTTATTTCCGCTTGCGTACTGGTGTAATAATATTGTTGTATGAATTTTGAATTGTTGTATGAATTTGGTTTTCGGAAACCATCCGTTTCTTGTAAAATAGCGAAAGATCCAAAAGACATCCTTTTCCCTGAAACGGCTAACGATACCTGGGATTTATTTACACGTAATTTGTTCTAATTTTTGGGCCATCAAAAAAGGTCTTTGTAAATTTTTTTCTAAAATGTGTAGTTTTCGCCCTACAGCTTGCTGATAGTTTGATGGCGAGGAGCTTGCGGGCGAAGAGCGCGCGTACTTGCACTCCTTCATACCACCAAACTGCCGCCGCACCGTCCACGTCCACGCGTTGACGTCGCAGAGGATCTCTTACTACATGGTGGGGGCTATTCAGTAATCGTCCAGCTGAATTTCCAACCCTGAGCTCGCTTGTCACAGTGCTGCCACCGATTTATCGGTAGATCTACCGATTTTAGAAGAGATCTACCGATCTACCGATTCTAATGAAAAATCTCCCGATTTTTTTTGTTTCTAAATATGCATATTTTTAAATTACAATAATATGTTTTACCCTCTAAGCTACTTATAAATATTCTGTAGTTTGCTTAAAACATCCCAGTTTATTCTTCTTTTCTTATATTTAGCGACATCTAGTGGTACACGTCCAAATCGTAAAATAAATACCGATAACTGATTTCTACAAAATACAATTTATTTGGTAATTCCCCGACGCGACTCGGGTATTCCCCTGGCTAACACCAGCAGGACGCGATAGTCGATACACGATTTATATTATTAATACTCTGTTGGTGTTGGCTGTTTAGAAGTATGTTGAAGAGTAGTGATTAAATTTATATTCTCTGATATAAATTTTGATTTTTTCTGGATTTTAATTTTTATTAAACAAATATGGATAGTGATAGTGACAGTGCTGATAGTGGAGGTGAAGGAACCAGTTACGGTTTAAAAAAGAAGATGAAATACAGTCAGTCCTACAAATCAGATTGGGAGAAAGAACCACGCTTCACAGGTTGGCTTATTAAAAGCCAAAAAGGGAAAAATTTTGGATTCTGCAAGGCATGCAATAAAGATATTAATATATCCAGTGGAAAGGACTCACTTATAAAACATACACAGCGAAAAATCCACGAACAAAATGTAAAATCTATCAAAAATCAACCGTCCATGACTAAATTTGTTACAGACACAAAAAGGAGGCAAAGGGCTCAAGACACCAAAGAAGGTATACTTACGTTTTTCTATTTGGTAATTCCTAATGATTGATGCACTTATGTACAGTACCTGTTATAAAATGTAGTACAAGATTCATTACAATGCTAAAAATATATTTTCTATTGGATGTCGGAATGCTACTGGAAGCTCTCTTTCCTTCCTCCAGACCCATCACGTGACTTTCTCCACCTTTTGTCTTAAGGTGCATCCAGACTATATAACATGTTGTATAACACGTCCGCACTGTTCAACATTGTTGTATAAAATTGCATCATTTAACAATATGATATAGTACTACGTGCATCGATCATTGTAACATTATAATTGTGGCAAGGTTTTTTTATTCTATTCCATCATTTTTTAGCTGAGATACGGCTGGCGGCGTTTGTAGCTGAACATAATCTTCCATTTACCGTTATGGAGCATTTGCCTGATCTAATAAAAAATATATGTTCTGATTCCGAAATTGCTCGTGGTTTGGCTTCTAGCAGAACCAAAACAACGTCGATTGTAAAAAATGTAATTGGCCAGGAAGAATTTTTGAACGTTTGCGAAGATCTAAGGCAAAATAAGTTCTCATTAATAGTAGATGAATCGACGGATGTTAGCACCACTAAGCATCTTTGTTCCGTAGTGAGGTATCGAAAAAATAATGTAATAAAAGACAAATTTTTTGCTCTATTACCTTTATCAAATGCTGATGCAAAAACTTTATATAACGTTGTTATATACCTTTTTAAAACTAACAATATTCTGTATAAAAATAATTTAATTGGATTTTCTGCGGATGGGGCTAATGTCATGATGGGCAAAACTAATTCATTAATGGTACTTTTAAAGAAAGATATTCCTTTTTTGTTTGTGATGAAGTGCATATGCCATTCATTCCACCTTTGCGCTTCTTACGCTTCACAAAAAATACCAAGGTTTGTCGAGGATCTTGTGAGGGATATTCATAATTATTTTAATTCTAGCCCAAAAAGAACTTCAGAATTCCGTGACTTACAGGCTTTTTGTAACATAAAAACACATAAAATTCTGCACCCATCACAGACTAGATGGCTTTCTGTTCAAAGTGTAGTAAGTCGTATTTTAGAACAATACAATCCATTAAAATTATACTTTACTGACGCTGTTTTCCAAAATGATGTTTTAGCTACGAATCAAATTTTGAAAAGGTTAAACGACCCTACTACTCTCTTATTTTTGCAATTTTTAGATTTTGCTTTGCCTTTTTTCAATAATTTAAATAAGGATATGCAAGCAGAGAGCCCAAGAATACATGTTATATATAAAAACATATCCACTGTTTTAAAAACCATGTTTGATTGTTATTTAAACCGCGATTATTTAACATCAACATCTCTAGAGAATATTGACTACAAAAATCCCAGAAATTACTTACCAATAGAAAATGTTTATTTTGGAGCTAATGTGGCAAAAACATTATCAGAAATTACAATATCCAGCGAGCAAATACATTTTTTTAGGCTTAGATGTTTAGAGTTTTATATTGAAAGTTGTGATCAAATCCTTACTCGTTTCCCGCTTAAAAATAATCCAATTAAATTGTTTAGTTTTCTCGATCCCGTAAATGTCAAAACAGGAGTTATACCTTCTATTTCAGATGTGGCCAGGATTTTTCCAAACTTAATTAAGGAAGAAGCGCTTCAATCACTTGATAACGAATGGCGTCTTTTGCGTAATACCGATATTGAAAAATTATCTAATCAAGTCGAGACATTTTGGCAGGAAGTAAGTGAATATCGCTTAGGTGACGATACGCCTTTGTTTCCAATTTTAAGCCAATTCGCTTTTAATATATTGTGTTTACCCCATTCTTCCGCCAATGTTGAAAGAAGGTTCTCAGAAATTAACCTAATGAAAACGAAACAAAGAAATTCTTTAAATACAAAGACAATTACGGGATTAGTACATACTAAACAGTACTTAGGTAATAATAAGTGTTTCAATTTTAAAATAAGCAAAGAACTTATTTTAAAAATGGATAATAAAACACTAAAAGGTATTGAAGAGAGTGAAAATGACTAAACAACTTAATAATTATCGATTTATATTGTTCTGTTGTTCTTGTTTTATTACGTTAACAATGTACGTATATTTAGATTCTTTGTGTACTTCTGATACCCGAAACTGATCAGTAATGAATAAAATATATTTATTCATAAAGTATTTGTTTTTCATTGCTTCATAAAGTATTTGTTTTCCATTGCTCAAATACCTAAAAAAAATTGAAGAAAAACTGCTGATTAGATATATAAAAAAAAAATTCGTAGAAAAAGCTTGCTTATTGCTTAACCTCATTTTTTATCTGTTAAAAGCGTTCTAGGGGAAGCCTATGGCGCAACCGGCTATCTACCGATTTTAAACCGAAACCTACCGATTTATTTTTTGAGATCTACCGACATTGGTGGGTAGAAGCGTGGCAGCACTGCTTGTCAGTTCGACGTTCACCGACGTCGCCACAGCGAGTGTGTAGAGAAGACATCGTTGGCCATTGTCGGTTCTTTACATATTTGCCTTGACGTATGTTATCCCAACGTATAGCCGCGGCTCAAGAACTGCTAAATCTCTTATCATGGTCAACGATCAAGAACTACCGGTGATCAAACTGATTACCGAGGATGATTACGAAAATAACTTGGAACCTAGAAAACGATTCGTTTGATGATTCATTGGGCTTCTACATCCTGTAATGTATTATTATCATTGACACTGCTTTATACAGGGTGACAGGTAAATAGGTGTAAAACATTTTAGGAGGTGATAGTACAGCTCCTTTGCTATCAAAATTAGTATATACCCTATATTCAAAGGTTAAAAAGCTATGGGAGATTTATTTTTTTTAAAAAAACAACCCAGATTACAGATTAAAATAGTTGAGATAAAAAAAAGTTGGTGACTAAACATTCGTTTTTTGGTGGTTTCAGGATATTATTTAAATAAATAATTCTCATAAATTAAAAAACATATGAAAACACTACTGAAAACGTATTTATTTTCATTTAAATGTTAAATGAAAATTTTTATTTTCAACTTTCACATTAAGAAGCCTTTTTTTTTCAAAAAAATCATAATAAAGAAAATGTACAAATAACTGCAAAAAATTCCTCGTATCATTAGGTTTCTAAAATCGTATAATAACATATCAGTAAGTAAACCATTTAACAAAACAATATTACTTTGCTAGAAAGGACCGCTAAGCGCATTTCATTGTACTGTGCCCTGTGCCGTTATTCGGGTTTAAGTATTCGGAATCTGTCGTCGCTCCTCGGAAGCAAGCTCTGCGTGTGTTATGACACAGCTGACGGATCAAGGAAAGGGAACTAACGCCTAGGTTAGTTAGTAGAATATCAACCTTTAACGCGGTAGGACGAACTTTTACTTTTTTGATCAGTTTTAATAATGGCGAGTTACCGTAACGAAGAATACGCTGATATTATGTTTTGTTATGGTTTAAGTGATGGAAATTCCGTTGTAGCCAGGCGAGAATACGAAAACCGTTTTCCGAATCGGCGAATACCGAGTCATCGAGTATTTACTTCTGTGTACCAACGCGTCAAGGCAAGTGGACAGGTTCATGAGAGACGTCATGATGCTGGTAGTCATCGGTTGTTTGACGACGAAGATCGAGAGGCAATACTGGAATGCTACGGCAGAGACCCGACGACGTCTACACGAGTTATAGCAAAGCAGCTTGGTTTAACTCAGTGGAAAGTTTGGTTCGTTTTGCATTCGGCGACCCTTTCCATTACACACCGGTTCAAGTATTAGAAGAAGGAGATCCCGCATGAAGAATTGATTTTTGTCGATACATGCTCCATCGGGATCAAGAAGAAAACGACTATTTAATTAAAATATTGTGAACCGACCAGTCTAAGTTTGATAGAGAGGGGACAACAAATTATCACAACTTACATTATTGGGCCCCACGAGAGGCAAATCTCCACATGGCAAAGCCAAGAGCCCATCAAAGAAGATTTTCGGCAAACGTGTGGATGGGAATCATTCATATGTATCTAATTGGACTAGTTTTTTGCCTGACAACCTGAATGGCGAATCCTATGAAAACTTTTTGAGATCCGAACTCTGGGAGTATCTCGAAGACCTGCCTCTGAATATCAGGATGCAGATGATCTACCAACACGATGGCTGTCCCGCGCATTTCCGTCTGGGTGTTAGACAGTGGCTGGACGAGAAATATCCTTGTCGCTGGATTGGCCGAGGTGGACCGACACCCTTGGCCAGCGAGGAGCCCAGATTTAACACCGTGTGACTATTATTTATGAGGGCACATGAAGTCACTGGTGTACGCTGAGCCCATAGACACTCTTGAACAGTTGAAAGAAAGAATTATTGCTGAGGCTGACACTATCAGAGGACAACTAACTTGCCGCATCACGCGTACCAACATCAGAAAAAGACTACGGGCTTGCATAAGAAACGGCGGGCGTCAGTTAGAACAACAAATGCAATGAATTTTACCTTCATTTTATTATTGTATTTTACTTACCAATTGTAGTAACTTCTAGTCAGTTTTTATTATTCGGTAGTACAATTACAACTGTGTAAATAATCTAATCGTGTAACTTAACCGCAGTTTAAAATAATAACGGTCCCATAGCTTACAGTTACATTATTTTCACAAAAACACTTTCTTATCAATCAGAGAGTTGTGAAAATAGGAGACAAGCCATTGGTGAAGTTACTCCCTATTGTTGTATTATAATACATTATGTTTAGTTTCACACAGTTTTTGTGCACTTATCATACCAATTTAGATTCCTTATGAAACAAGGATATTATTTAAATTGTTTGTACTTTTTTTGTATACTGATTTTTTTGTAAAACACCTTACTTACTGTAAAACGTTATTTGTTTTTCTTAGTTAAACATTTTTGAATGAAAATAAATACGTTGTTTGGTATTGTTTTCAAATCTTTTTTAATTTATAATAGTTAATTATTGAAATAATAACCCAAAACCACAAAAACAAATGTTTAATCGCCAAATTTTTTCTCTCTCGACTTTTTTACTCTGAAATATGGATTGTTTTTAAAAAAATCTTAAAGAAGAAGAGAAATTACTGCATCTTGTACTTAAACGCATAAATTTCAAAAATTCATTAATATGCATACGTCGGTGAACGCCACAACTACAAACGAGCTTACTATTCGAAATCGACTGGCCTATCACTGAGAGTGAGACACTGAGGACGTCGAAATATTAAAAGAGGATCGTTCGCGTCAACGGTGCGGCGGCTCGTGGTACGTGTAAGCCCGCGCTGGCCCCCGCAAGCCCCCCGCCAACAAGCTATCATCAGGCTGTAGGACGGAAACTAAGCAATTTAGCAATATACGTAGTCGTGCCATAAGTTCTGTCCCATGATAATCTCATGATAAAAATGAAACAAGATAAGATATATTTATATGAAAGATATTATTTATTCGACAACATTTTTAGAATTCATAATCAAACAGTTTTATTCAAAATGTCCCCCCTTGGCCTTCACACACTGCTTCAATCTCGCGGGCCACTCATCTATCACTGCACGCACAGCTTCCAAAGGAATAGCTGCCGCTGATCGGATCAAATCCGCTTTCAGGGACTCGATATTACGGTGGGCTTTGGAGCAGGCCAACTGCTCTAGCAGGTCCCACAACTTGTAGTCTAAAGGATTGAGGTCCGGACTCCCTGAGGGCCAATCTTCCGCAGCAATGAACTCTGGCACATTGCTTTCCAGCCAGCGCTGCGTACTCTTAGCCTTGTGAGCGGGGGCGGAATCCTGCTGGTAGACCCAGTGTTGGTTGGCAAACAATGTACCACTTAAAGGCTTGACGATAGGATCCAGTATGTCGCTCTGATAGTTTGCCGCTTTTGTTTTCACGCCCTGTTTACAGAAATGGAGCTGAGTGACCCCTTCGTAGGACACCCCCCACCAAACCATGACTGACACAGGGTGGTGGCCTCTCTCAACTCTCGGAATGATCTCCGAAGCTTCCTGTGAACTCCTTGCATACACTTTGTCATTTTGTCGGTTGAATTTTTCTTCTATGGTGAAGATTTTCTCATCCGTGAACAAAATCTTTCGGAATCCCCCAGCTGCGTACCTCTCCAAGAGCTTCTTGGATCTTGTCGCCCTGATGTGTCGCAAGGTGGCCGTAAGTCGCTGGCCCGTACGTCTCCGGTAAGCCCCTAGCCCTAGGTCTTGTTTAATGATGCGCGACATCGTCCGGACAGGAATCTTCATTTCCCTGGATAGGATCTTCTGCTTCCGGAGTGGATTCCTTTGAATCCTGGCTTTTACGGCTTTGATGGCTGCTGGAGTCCTTACTTGACGAGGTCTTCCGCTTCTTGGCCTGTCATCAACAGAGGACGTCTCATTGTACCGCTGAATGGTCCTAGACACAAATTTACGCGATATTTGAAGGCCGCGTAAGAGTTCAAAAATCTGACTAGCACTGTGATTACACTTATGTAAAGCTATCACTGCAATACGGTTCTCTGCCTTGCCCCACTCCATCGTTATGCTTCGAGAGATCAATACAAACTGAGGTATATGTAATTACCCGAAAAGCGCTTAATCAACTGACACCACAATGTAAACAATCGGACAAGTATTAACAGGTCTACACTTGTTTGAAAACGAGGGACAGAACTTATGGCATGACTACGTATTTGCAGAGATCTTTTTTGATGACACAAAAATTACAAAAATTTACCCGTAAAAAAATCTCAGTTATCGTCAGCTGTTACAGCGAAAAAGAGGTTTCTTGAAATTTTCGCTGTTTTACAAAAAACTGCTGGTTTCCTAAAAACCAAACCCTTGCGACAATTTTCGCAATCCTTTATCACACCATTACGCCAGCGGGCATAGCTTTGTGGCTATGTTATCACTTTTGCGGCAGTTTCGTCTATTTAACTGGACTATTAAAGACACATGTGCGAGGAAATCTGTCCTGTGCTGTATGAAATATGGCTAATATGTAGAATTATTGATTTTGGGAGCGTGTAAATATCCTAGCATCAAAAAATTGAGTACAGTCTCCACCCCCTAATGATGATCCTACGAATTGTTAAAAAATAACGAGCGACTTTTTTCTGTTTTTGTTCTTTTTGTCCGCAGCCACTGGACCGATTTTTCAACGCCATAAAGTGCTTTCGTCCTTGGCGTAGCAGTAACCTTGTGTGACAATACCGAGCGGTACTTTACAAATTATAGAGAAACCAACAATTTCCGGACAGACAGACAGATCATAGAATGACGAGTGATACTGTTTGTCGTGATTTACATGTCATATAACATCTAAAAAACTTTTCGAGATTACAATACTTTCTCCGCCATTGGCGTAGAAAGTAAAAAACAAAGCACGTGGATTGCGTCAGTATTTATTAGGCACCCGCGATTCTCATAACAAATCATGATCTATTT